AGGCGCCGCAGGTAGGTCGATTTATTCGGTCTGTGATCTGTTCTCAGGTTATGATGAGGTACCGCTTGACCCTAGAGACAGGCACCTCACGGCTACGCATACGCCATTGGGACTAATACAGATGATGGTTGTCCCTATGGGTTGGACTAATGGGGTAGCCGTTTTTCAGAGAGCCATGGTAGCCGTCCTCAAGGACTTCATCCCTGATAAGGTTGAAGTTTTTCTGGATGACTTTTCTATAAAAGAGCCAGTAAACAAGGATGAGGCAGAGTTTGCACCTGGAGTTAGAAGATTCGTCGAGCAGCACCTAACGGATATTTGCGCGGTACTCGAGCAGCTGGACGATGCGAATCTAACAGTCAACGGAACAAAGAGCCGATGGGCCGTCTCGACTATTAAGATCTTGGGCTTTATCTGTGACTCGAGGGGACGTCGAGCAGATCCTGCAAAGTTAGACAAACTCCTGAACTGGCCGTCACCATTACATAGTCCAACCGAGGTCCGACAGTTTCTGGGAGTGGTCGGTTACTGGCGAATATTCATACGAGGGTATGCGGAGAAGGCTGAGCCATTGCGACTACTCCTTCGAAAAACTGAGAAATTGTACTGGGATTCCTCGCAGGAACTCGCTATGCAAGAGCTTAAAGATGAATTTAAGGAGGGAGGACGCGTACTGGGCGTGTCGTTGTTTGATGATGAGGCTGGGAGACCTTTCATAGTAGCCACGGATGCTGGACCTTGTTCGGTAGGAGGGTTGTTGTCTCAGAAGGACGCTGAAGGGAAGGAAAGACCATTAAGATTTGAGAGTAGGACACTTAATACGGCAGAGCGAAACTACAGTCAATTCAAGAAGGAAGTATTAACTGTTCTGCGGTGTCTAGACACGATCAGACATTATATCTATGGACGACGGTTCATCTTGAGAGTGGATCCCACCGCGGTCGCCTCTGTCCTCCAGAAGGACTTTAGCCCGACAGACCCGACCATTGCACGATGGTTAATACGGATTCGACTATATGATTACACAGAAGAGAGGATATCTGGCACTAAAAATGTCGTAGCGGATGGGCTCTCTCGGATCCCTCTTGAGGGAGAGCGCCCGATAGTAGCTGGGGCCGTGACAATGGCGGAGCCGAGACGCGCCGAGAGAATTCTGGTTAACCTTTACGAGGGCAAGTACCAAACGATCGGGCTACACCTGATGGGAGAGGAGAGTCAAGATTTAGATATCCGGAGACGAGCAGCCCAGTACTGCCTTAGAGCGGGCCACCTTTTCCGAAGATCAGTAGGGTCGGAGATGCCCTTACGAGTAGTCTGTGATCCTGAAAAGAGACAGACGATAGTAGCGGAGCTTCACGATGGGGTGGTCGGAGGACATAGAGAAATCAGAGGGACCTACGAAAAGGTACGCAGGCTGTACTTGTGGGAAGGACAGTATAAGGACGTCGAGAGATATTGTATGACCTGCGAAAAATGCCAAAAGAGAGCTCTTGTGAAATACAAACAGCCGCTTCATCCATGCTATCCAACCCGACCAGGAGAGAAGGTACACATCGATCTGGTTAAGATGCCGAAAGGGGTAGGCAATATGAACTATGTTGTGAACATACGAGACGACTTCACGGGGTTCGTGGACGGTAGACCTATCAGGAGTAAGACAGCAAGGGAAGTGAAGAACTTCGTCCTAGAGTACTT